TGAAACGTGCTCTAAGAACATGAGAAAAAAATGCCTAATAGTTCAGGAGAAAATAAAAGCCTGTGGTTATCTCAGAGGTACTGGTATGCATTCAGCAATTTCTTTTTTCTAGATGCATACAGAAGCCAGGTCCACAAGACAATTGGTGGCCGTGGCGAAGCTCTCCCAGACTTGCTATAAGATTTGCCGCTGAAAAAAAAAAAAAAATGAGTGGCATTCACCAATATGAAAATGTTTCTAATAGAATATAAAAATCTGTTAAGCAATTTTCCAGCACATTAGGCTGAAATTGCTTAAGATGGGTATTTCTGTAGTAATGAAGCATCACATAAATTGCAGTCTTATAATGCCCCTGTGTGGAAAGTGCTAGTACCATTTGGCCTACTTCATTATTTCTGTTCTCCTTCCACATATGACTTGGTATAGTCAAAGCCACCTCTCAATTATCTGGGGGCGCATTTCCTAACTTGAGTGTCATCCAAGCTTTCTTTCTAAGATAGTCATTTTTCAGCAGTTTGCGTGGGACTCCAAATGAGAAAACCAGCCAATTTTCTTCATAACTGGCTTTAACAAAGCATGAGTGGTTTCAGAATCTTGGCTCTGAGAGAAAATGATGACACCACTTACAGAGAAGTATCAATACCTTCTTGCCTACTTCTCTGTTCCCATTGTAACTGATTTACAGAGATCAAAGACCAGTATTCCTAAGGAACATTCAAAATGTGGAAATGTTCTTGTTGAGAAGCTAGTTTTGAAAATTACACAGTGTAGCTAAGAACTGTGGTATACACCTATAATCCCAGTTACCAGGGAGGCTAAGGAGGAAGGATCACGTGTCTGAGGTCAGCCTGGGCAACTTAACAGGTCCTGTCTTAATTTTTTTTAATAAAAAGGACTGGGAATGCATTTCAGTGCTAAAGAGTCCACGGATTTAATCCCTCATATTGCAGGGGAAAAAGTTAACAATTTAAAACAGTTATCAGTCACATCTGACATCTGCACACACACACACACACACACACACACACACCGTCGGCCCATACTTGGCTTGCATATAACTTTTTATTTTTAAGCTAACCCTTTTAGCAATTCTTACTCTGAAGACAATCATTGAGTAACAACTTAGGAAAAGTTGGATTTAAGGTGGATTTGTGTAAGCCAACCAGAATAAAAGGAAACAATAACTGTAGTCAGGAATAAGTTCTAGAACTTTCTAAAATGTAAGAATTCCATAGAATGATTTCCATTACTTTAATGGCACACATAATACCAGCAAAAAAAAAAAAAAAACACAAAAAACAAAAACCTGATAGTGCTCTAAGAACAGTAATACTGTAACACCTACAGGGTGACATAGGAAAGAAAGTTTTTGGAGCCAGGCAGCCTCAAGCCTGAATCCCAGCTCTACTGCACATTAGCTATACAACATGGCACAAGTCACACAGCCTCAGTCTGTTCCCTTGCCCATAAAGGACATAAGCCTAACTTCAAAAAGTTGTTTCAAGGATTAGAGTAAATGTAGAAAATCAGCTCATTACAAATTTCAAAAATGGCAGCTACTAATATTAATGAACACCTCACAGTCCATTTATGGGCCCACACTTAATAAGACTGCTTTAAGTCCCAGGGAATGAGTTCAACTTGGTCTCAAGTTCTCTGTTGTTTTGATGTTATCAGAAACTTTCAGTAAGTCTAGTAATTCACCTATAAATGATTTTTCTTTAGGTGGATCTCGGTCTGCACACGCTGCCTATTCTGTGAATCAGCTTCCTTTGAAGTGGACCTTGGTATTTTCTTTCCAATTTCACAAACCACAGGAAACACTCACTTTATGTATAACACTGCCCTCTAGTGATTAGAATAACTTTTTTCTAGTTATCTGTCCAACTGCAACCCTTTGTTTAAAAAAATAATAAAGAAGTAAAATAAAAAAATTAAAATCTGGTTACTTACCCACCAGCCCAAGAAAAACTTTTCCTGGAAATCTGGTGGAATCAACCAGTTACCCCTGATCTTATCCTCTTAATCAAAGCATCTAACTGTGTCAGAGTTACCATCTAAAACTACAAGAGCACAGGTGGAACACTTGTATGACCAGGTGCTATAATCCCAGTGATTTGGGAGGCACAGATAGGAGGATCACAAGTTCAAAGCCAGTCTTAGCAATTTAGCCACACTCTGTCTCAAAATAAAAAAATAAAAAGGACTGGCTCAGTGGTAAAGCAACCCTGGAGTCAATCCACAGTATTGGGGGAAAAAAAGTGTGGGCTGTGTTAGGGATGATCATTTATTTAGTCCACATTACCCCTTCAATACCCCAAAACTCTTTGAAGAACTTGGCCTTCTTATACCTTTTATTTCTTCTATTTTTACAATAAAGCATGTATTTGTGTATCTATACAATGTGAACCCAAATTTCCAAGGGAGGGAGAAAAGAATCTGTCTGGATTGTTAAAATAGGAACTCTGCATTGAAGATTCAATTCCAAGATTAAAATACTAATACAGATTGACTGACAGCCTGAAAGATGGTCTGATACCTGCTTAATTGTAGGCTACCTTGTTTTAAATGTAAGAAAACTCCTAACCTCACTCACAGAGGAAATGGACAATAGCAGCTACTGTTCACAGCTGAGCCTTATGCTTAACTGTGTATCTGCTGTTCCCAACAATAATCCTGCCCAGTACATGTTATGGCTATTTTCTAGATGAGACACAGTTTACATAATTGAATCCAAGTCTGCCCACAAGCCCTTCTCTGGTAACAGTGACCTGAAAGGCAAGTTTCACAGAAAGGTGAGCAAGATGCCATCTTGGTGTAAATAACAAATTACAATAAACTGACCCAGAAATAGAGAGAAAGGTATCTAAGAATATTTACTGGTAAAGGGTAAGTGTTCAAAGATGAGCCAAGTTCCACTGCTGCCTTCAGCAAGCAAATGCTTGACAGTTATAAAAATCCAGTGAGAAACCTATTCTACTCAGATATAGGTAGGTGTTTATCAAACACAAATCTAACTAGGTTTAAATTCTGAAAGTACACCCTTCAGATAAGTAAGCCTCCTGATACTTTCTTTTTCAATTTAAAAAACTTCAACAGCTGGATGCAGTGGCACAAACCTGTAATCCTAGCAACTCGGGAGACTGAGGCAGGAGGATCTCAAGTTCAAAGCCAGCCTCAGCAACTTAGTGAGGCCCTATGCAATTTAGCAAGATCCTGTCTCAAAAAATAAAAAAACTAAAAGGGACAGAGATGTGGCTCAATGGTTAAAAACACCAAAAAACAACTACCAAAAAATTCTTAACTGATGATGTAGTCATGCATCTACTTAGCTCTGGGTGAAGTTCAAATTGGAGAGTGGACATCCGCTCACCCCTCTACCTGCTCCCCTTCTCTAACGTAGCTTCTGAATCTCTCAGCTTCTGAGTCTCTTGGCCTTTCCTTGGTGATGAATAGCAAGTGGCCCATTTCCCCAGATGCTCTTTAATAACAATCACACTGGTGTTTGAACTTATAACTTAACACCTATAGTTAGGATTTGGGAGCTTCTGGAACCATAACCTTGACCCAGCCTTCCATAACAGTCTTTTTACTTTCTATTACACAACATGACACGGCAATAAAAGCAACAAACCGCTTCAGCTTTTTCACTTCTGCAGAAGCTAAAACCACTTCTCCAATATATAAAGGAGCGGGAAAGTTAATTTCCTGGGAGAGAAATACACAGCCTGGTCCTGGCATTTTCGTACCCAAGAGAGCTGAGATGAGCCCATTGATCAAAACTCCATGTACAATTGTCCTTCCAAACTTGGTGTGTTTAGCAAAATCTTCATTTAAATGCAAAGGATTGACATCTCCGGTTAATTCTGAGAAGGCAGCCACTTCCCTCTGTGTGAAGGCCCTGCTGAGTTCAGCCCGGTCCCCAACCCTCAAGTGAACATGCTGCAGGAACTGTCTGCTCCATGCTGGTTGACTCAGGCAGAATCTCCTTTGAAGTCCACCCCATGGAAGGCAATAGCTGGATATTCCTGGGAACATCTTCAGCATCCTCATATTTCATCCATGGGAGCTTCTAGCCTGCTTCTGTTTTCAAAGTATGTAGCCACCAAAAAGTACTTTTGAGAGCAGAGGAAAGTTTCTGAAATTGAAGACTATTCAATCCAATATTAATTCCCTACTGTTACCAGATAATGCGAGGAGAAATGGAGAGACCTATAAGAGAATGAAAAAGGTTAATGTGGTACCAGGAAGAAAGTACACTGCCACAGTGCAAGGCAGAAACACACCCAGTTTTATAGAAGGAACAAAGCTGGGGTACTAGCATTTTATTTATCACCTGCAGCACTGGGGAGGGAACCCAGGGCCTCACACATGCTAGGCAAGTGCTCGACCACTGAACTATACCCCAGCCTTTTTTATTTTTTGGTAATCAGGGACACTCAATCACTAAGCCACATCCTCAGCCTATTTTGTATTTTATTTAGACACAGGGTCTTACTGAGTTGCTTAGGGCCTTGCTAAATTGCTGAGGCTGGCTTTGAACTCACAATCCTCTCACCTCAGCCTTCCCAGCTGCTGGGATTACAGGCATGTGACACCCGCACCCAACTATTTTTTGAGTCAGGGACTCACTAAGTTGACTAGGCTGGCCTTGAATTTGTGATCCTTTTGCCTCAGCTTCCTGAGTCATTGTCTGGCTGCACTAGCATTTTAAAGAACGGCCTTAGTTAAACAAGTAGTCAAAATCTCTGGATGAGTGTATCAATACATAACACACTAGGTGTAAACAATATTTTAAAAGTCTTTATCACAAGTGTTCCAACTTTGATTCCCAAACATCTCCCATCCAATCTAAAATCTAAATACTTTGTTTCACATTTTCAGAAGCAATGAAGTCCTACAGTTTACCCTCCTTGCTAGCTGCTATTAACTGTATGACCTTCATTCAAGCACAGAGTAAAAAAGCAGTTGGTCCACATTCAATCTTACTTGGAATACGTGAAGGAACAACCTTTACCTGAATCACTCTGAAAGCACATTTTTTGCCTTTGTAGGATCCTAACAGGGTCAAAGAACTCCACAATTTGACTAGACCACTGCAAAAAGATCAAGAAAACAAATGAAGATTTGTCCTTGAATAGTACTTCTGTTTATTAGTACTTTTTAAGTCCAGAAAAGTAGGTGGTTTTTATCAGAAAACCTTAATTTAAGTGAAAACAAAAACAAACAAACAAAAAAAAACAAACAATAACAAAACCTGGGAGTAAAAGCACAGTATATCATAGGCAGAGAATAAAATGAACCCAAGAATATTTCTAAAATATATATTACTGGCTGTCCAACCAGGACCATCAATAGGGAATTCTAGCTGTAATCAAACCACGAGTTTTGCTCTTTTTAGTGCATAAGCCCCTGATAGATGTTCAGATTCATCTCAGCTTACATTTCCAAAAGTTGCCAGAGTTCATAATCACAAAACTCTTCTTGTTCTAAAAGCAAGCATTTTTGTTGTCTCTCCATCAGTCTCTCTTCCCCGTTGTTCTACAATGTTCCTGTTTATCGTACCTGCTACATATTCTCAGGATGGCTGACAAGGTCTTCTCTTCATAGGTCAGGACATCCACAGGTAAGGCAGCACCAACCTACATATGGAATAATGTATTAGCAAACTCTTATCAACATTACCCTTGAACTCATTAGTGAGGTCTAATGAGTTCCCGTCAATGCCTTGTTTTTGAGTTTCTCCTCCTCTGCTGATGCTGGTACTCTCGGGTGCCTGATTAATGCTTCCCTTGCCTGGACTGCTCCCACATCTCTTCATGTGGCTGATCCTCCTCACCCCTTGTTTGAATTGTTCCTTCCTCGATTCCCAAGCTCAGGCTTGATCTGCTTGTTCTGCTCTTTCCATATGGAATTTCCAACTTCCTCTCTCACAATTCTCATCTTGTCACTAATTAACAAATAGTCCCATGTAAAAGAACATTAGTCCATGAGACAGAGGCCATGTCTATTTAGAGCTATGTTCCCAGAAACCAGGGTTTTATACCTGACACATAGAAAGTATACAGATCTTTTTTTTTTTTTTTTTTTTTGACTTTTTATTTAAATAAACTATACACTTGGAGGAGATTATAAAGCAAGCTATATAGGAGGTTCCATGTACCCTATAGCTCCCTCAATGCCAATATCTTGCATTAGTATAATACAGTATCAAAATTAGGTAATCTATATCAGTATAATTTGGAGCTTATTCAGATTTTGCCAGTTATACATATACTCATATTTGGACATGTATCTGTATTTATGTGTAGTTCTATGTAATTTTACCACATTAAGTAGCTTCACATAACTACTGCCACAACCAAGATAAAGATCAAGACTCCCTGACTCTACCCCTTTATATCACTCCTCCTCACCCCTGACCCCTGGCAACCACTAATCTTCCTCTAGATTATTCAATTATAATTGTTATTTCAAAAGTATTACAGACACAGACTCACACAGTAAGTAATCTTGGGGACTGGTTTTTTCATTGTGAATATCAACATTTCATTCTTTTTCATTGTTGAGTAAATTCCATGGTATGAATGTACTACAGCTTAACTATTCACCCACTGCAGTACACCTGGAGTGTTTCCAGTTTGGGGTTATTGCAAATGAAACTATAACGAACATTTGTGTATAGGTTTAGGTTGTTTTTTTTAAAAACATTTATTTTTTAGTTATAAGTGGATACAACATCTTTATTTTATTTTTATGTGATGCTGAGGATCAAACCTAGTGCTTCATGCATGCTAGGCAAGCACTCTACCACTGAGCCACAATCCCAGCCAGCCCTGTGTCTGTGTATAGGTTTTTATGTAAATAGAAGACTTCTCTTCTCTGGGACACATGCCCAGGAGTGCCGCTGCTGAGTCACATAGCAGGTGCATGTTCAGTTTATGCTGCAGAGTCCTTGCACCATTTTATACTCCACAAGCAACGTATGGTGACCCAACTTCTCCACATCCTTGCCAGTGTTTGATGTTATCACTATTTTTTTGTTTCATTCACTCTGTGCTATATATAGTAGTATCTGACTGAATCATTCATGTACATTTCCCTAATATCCAATGCTATTGAACTGCTTTTCATGTGTTTCTTTGCCAATTACACATCCTCTTTAGTGAAATGTCTGTGTATGTTTTTGTCCATTTTCTAGATGGACTGTTTGGTATTGAGAATTCTTTATATATTTTAGACAGTCATGGTGGAGCACACCCATTATCCCAGCTACTTGGGAAGCCAAGGCAGGAGAACCACAAATTTGAGGCCTGCTTTGGCAACCTAGCAATACCCTGTCTCAAAACAAAATGAAACGAGCTAGAGAAATAGCTCAATGGTAGAACATATGCACAGCAAATGCAGGGGCCTGGGTGCAGTCCTCAGTACTGCAAAAATAAAACAAAAAAAGAGGGTTCTTTTTATATATTTAGATCTGAGTCTTTTGTCAGATTAGTTTACAAATATTATCCCCCAGTGTGTAACTGACCTTTTCAATCTCTTAACAGTCCTTTGCCAATTAAAGGTTGTTTTTTCAGGGGGGTTCTAGGGATTGAACTCAGAAGCACTTGACCACTGAGACACACTCCCAGCCCTACTCTGTATTTTATGTAGAGACAGGGTCTCACTGAGTTGCTTAGGGCCTCACTTTTGTTGACGCTGGCTTTGAACTCAGGAACCTGCTGCCTTAGTCTACTGAGCCGCTAGAGAATAGGCATGCACCACTGTGCTTAGCCCAAGTAAAGGTTTTTAATTTTGATAAGGTACATGGCAGACTTTTAAAAATATACATATATTTATTTTTCAGTTGGACACAATATCTTTATTTATTTACTCTTATGTGGTGCTGAGGATCGAACCAAGGGCCTCACATGTGTTAGGCAAGCGCTCGACCACTGAGCCACAACCCCAGCCTCATATGGCAGATTTGACTTGACAGAATGTATGAATCAGGAAATAATATCCTGAGACTCCTTCTTTGCTTTCCCTCTTAACTTCCAAAGCTCTCCTTTGTTCTCAAATCAATGTCAGGACAAAGAGATGCAAAGTATTGGTCTGTGATAAGACAAGGAGCTGCGCCAGAATGCAAAGCAACAATATCACTGAGCACTTTTTTTTTTTTTTTTTTTTTGTACCAGGGATTGAACCCAGAGGCCCTTAATTACTGAGCCCTATCCCAAGCTCTTTTTTATATTTTAATTAGAGACAGGGTCTCCTGGAGTTCCTTAAGACCTCGCTAAGTTGCTGAAGTTACTTTGAACTTGCAATTCTCCTACTTTAGCCTCTCAAGCTGCAAATGTTCCACCCCTGAGCTGCACCCCTAGCCCTCACAGTGTTTTATAAGGAGACCTTTTCACTAAATGAAGTGGTGTGCTGGTTTCTAGTGTGAAGCCCCATCTCTTCAAGATGAGCAAAATAACACTTTACAGGTTGCCAGCCTAGATCACAGTCTAAATAACAATGAACAAATATTTGTCTAACAAGTATCTTGTCAAATACAAGGCATAGGCCTGAGGTTGTGGCTCAGTGGTGGAGCACCTGCCTTGCACACATGAGGCACTGGGTTCCAAACTTAGCACCACATAAAGTAAGATAAATGATATAAAGGTACCATGTCCATCTACAACTAAAAAAATATTTTAAAAAACACAAGGCATGTTAGGACAAACCTACTGCAATTTATCATCTACAGTTTTAAAATGCTGTCAGAATTCTTTTCTTTTTTTCCCTTTTCTGTGCTAGGGGTCAAATCCAGGGTCTTGCACATACCTGGCAAGCACTCTACCTCTGAGCTATATCCCCATCCCCTACCCCTTTTCTAAATTTCTTACAAAGATCTTAATCTACCAAATAACTTCATACCTCCCCAAACAGGTCCTTTAGGGCAGAAATAAGCAGCTGTTTGAACTGTGCAGCATTCAGACCAACTCCATGATCTTGAAATTCCCTGAAAAAACACATTACAAAGAAAAAAAAGGGACATTAAATTATATGCTATTCAGATTCATTTTTAAAAAGGTAATCTACAATGTAACTTAGGAAACTGAACTTACAGGCACACTTTCATGTAGTGGTACTCAGAGGGATTTTTGTAAACTATTCTTTCGTATGTGGTAGCCAGTGCTGGCATCTTTTTCAGTGCTGATCACACCTATAGTAAATCAAAAAGGCTAGTAGTTACAAAGGCACAAGCTATATTTCATTATTTTGGTGGAGGGGTACTAGGGACTGAACTCAGGGGCTCTCCACCAAGAGCTACATCCTTAACCCTTTCTATTTTGAGATAGGATCTGCCTAAGTTTCTGAGACTGGCTTTGAACTAGCAATCCTCCTGTCTCAGCCTCCTGAGGCTTTCACCTTTTTAATGAGAATTCAACCCATTTGATTTTAAAAAGACCTCTTGACACAGTAACATCTAATTCTGGTCAAAGGTTACCTACAGAGATAGAAAGGAAGTTCCTATGTTTTCAACATGCCAGACCACTGTCCTCTTAATTTTAAGAAGTATGATTTATTCTACATTCTACTAACATAAATCCTGCTGGCTTTTTTTTTTTTTTGGTACTAAGCACCCAGCTCTGTGCTAAATACATCACATGCATTGGTTTCTTTGTCTTTTAAAATATCCTATGAAGTAAACACTATTATTCCCCTTTATTTCCCCCAGTGCTGATGAGCTTTACCATGAACCTACATCCCCAGCCTTTTCAATTTTGACACAGGGTCTCACAAAGTTGCCCAGGCTGGCCTCGAACTTGGGATCCTCCTGCCTTAGCCACCCAACACACAGAGCAAACATTTACTGGGACTACAGGCATGTGCCACTGTACTCAGCAATTACTCTCACTTTAGACAGCAAGGCTCTTGAGAAGAATAATTCCTGAAACAGCCATTGTTATGGTGTGAACCTGATCTGTCCCCCCAAAACTCGTGCTTGACCTTGGATCAGAACTATAAGCCAAAATAAAACTTTTCTTTGGCCAACCAAGGAAAGTGACTTAGCAGAGACTGCATAACAATGTAAATGTATTTAATGACACTGAAATGTACACTTAAAAGTGGCTAAAATGATATGTCATATGTTTCATATTTTATATGTTTTATACTAAGACATAAGAAGTTTTTTTTTTTTTTTGGTAGTGTAGAATTGAACACAAAGCTCTGCACAAGCTAGACAAGCACTCTATCACTGAGCTGCATCTGCACTACACAGAGCACACGTTTTACTGAGCAGTCACTTCTCCACAGGCCTGAGTCCTCAGAGGAGGGGACAGCACTGCCCTCTGCAGGCTGTTCTGAGTTTAAGCGCTCCTGTAGTCATTGCCATCAACGACCTTTACCTAGGCTTTTTTAATAATTACAGAGATGCAGGTAAACATCTATTAGCAGTAGGTTCCATGCTTACTCCCCTCCCCACTCCCGGCGAACCTATTTAAATCTATTTAAGCACATCCCTTCCCTGTTCAAACCCTGCAATGCTTCCTATTTTATCAAGAGCAAGACCAAAGTCCTTGAGAGCCTGCAAAATCCTAGCTGATCTGTGCTGTTCTTGACCCCCTGTCTACTGGACCCACCTCCCAGTTCCTTCTCCTCCACCTGTTTCTCCCGCCTCTGGGCCTCAGCTTCAGCTTTCTTCAAGGAGCCACATGGTTCACTCTTTTGCCTTCTTTCTGGTTTTCTGCCCAATCTGTCTCTGTAGCCTAGTGCCCATCCTAATACTGCATCGCCCCCTCTTTGCCCTGACCCTGCTCTTTTGTCTCAGGGCATTTGCCACCTTCTAACATAATTGCATAATTCACTTATTCTTTATCTTTACTCCCCTAGTAGGTCCACTCCACGAGTCTGGGGTCTGTCTTGTTTGCTGCTGTTTTCCAAAGACAAGCAGTGCGTTGCACCGTGCAGACGTTCCAAGGATAACTCTGGGAATTCTGTAAAACCTCAATACTGCAATACTGCTGAGCACTTAGATTGTTTCCAACTAACAACCGCCATTGATTCAGGGCCCTCCTCTGCGCGTGGCACAGGCAGCGCGCCCTGCACAGTGCCACTCACTGATCGAGGTCACCCTGTGCGGTAGTGACCGCCCACCGCGTTGTATAGAGGGCGATGGGGGATCTCTGCCCCCGCGGACCGGTACCTCGGGCTCTCGGCACCATCCTCCGGTCGCTCCAGCTTTGCACATGCGCACTCGGCGCACGTGGAGGGCGACAGCAGTGCGGCCGACTAACACCACTCCCGGAAATAACCACTCTCGTGCGGGCTTCCGCTTACCTGCTGTCCGTCGGGCTAGCTTGACACCTCCTCTGACTCCGGTTGGCTGCAAGGATTCGCCAAGGCTTGGCGATCCCAAGCAGGAGCCAGAACCTGGGTCCGGGAAACTCCTGGTATGTTTACGTTTGGCTGCTCCCAGACCCCGGATGAGAGGTGGCCAAGCGGATATGACGTCACCGCGCGGAGTCTCCCTTGGACCCCGGTGTGGATCCTGAGCAGGAGCTGAGGACCGCGGAGCTCAGCGCCCTCTGGTGCCCACTCCGGGGAAAGTGCGCGCAATTGTCTGCATAGGATGTCTGTTTATTTTGGCGGGTGAAGTTTTAATAGCCATTTGATTTTTCATGCATTCTTTTTTGGGGGGAGCATCCCCAACCTTTTTATTTTTTATTTTTGTTTTGTTTTGAGAAACGGTCTTGCTAAATTGCGGAGGCTGTCCTCAAACTTGTGATCCTTCTGTCTCAGCCTCCTGAGTCGCCAGGATTACAGGTGTGTGCCACCGCGCCCGGCTTCATGCATTCATTCTTCAATAAATTTATTTATCTAGAATCTGCTCTTTGTTTCAGTGTTGATGATAAAAGCCAGGGCCTCCTGCATGCAAGGCAACTGGTCTACCACTGAGCTACATCCCCAGCCCTACCTGTGTCAAGCACTC